ATATCGTTTGTTAGTACTACAAACTATGGTACTGTTTTAGGTTTTCTAGATGAAATGGAATATCGTTTATTATTGAATGCTATTCAGGAGAAAGTACAGATGTGTAGACATAAAGGAAGTTTAGTTGCACCTTCAACACCTGAAGTAAGAAGTAATTAAAATAAATCTTCTTTTTCACATTTTTATTTGTGGCATAACATTATCTTTGCCTTTTTAGACTCAGTTACGAGCAGTATCATGGCTTCAAGGTAACGAAAGAGTTGCGGATTTCTTTCTAGAAAATTCCGAAATTTTAAATTACAATTATAACGACGTGTTAGTGTCTCGAGGTAAATTACATTTTTTTTAATTAGTTATCTTTAAATTTTTTTTTTTTGTATGTTTTGAAACTCAGTTGGTCTTATTTTTAGAAAAATCCCATTTTTGTATTGTATTGTTAACAGTTAGGGCGCCCTGGGACAGATTTAAACTTCGCCCCCATAACTTCAATACAAACTCATACGTAACAAAAGGGATCAAGGGCGCTTTTATGTGCGGCGCCCTGGGCGTACGCCCTATATCGCTCTATACTAAGGTCATTATCGTTTGTTGTTTAAGGTGACGAGCCCAAAGGTTTGTATATCTTGGTGTCAGGACTCTTAGAAGCGACATATGAACCACCAGAAGAAGACCTCGATGAGGCGATACCGAACTATGAATTCCTCACAGACCTGAAGTTCAGTGAGCCTAGTCAAGATTATATTGTTTCTGGTAACGCAATCGGCGTCTTGGGTGTTAGTATTTTTGCTATTGTTGTAAATATTTCGCAGAATTTAATGAATACGTAATGTCCTACACGTACTTTGTTATATTAGCTTGCTCCTAAATTGCAATAAAAATATGGTAAGATATTCTGATAACGTGATTTTTGTCCAAATAGATGTGTCCATAAAAAGCTGAAAAGTATTTTCCTGTGTCTTACGTTGTCTAGTTAGTTGGCTCGTGGATTAAAAGATTACTCTTGTATGCCACGTGCCAACTCCAATGCTGAGTACAAAACTTGTAATTTTTACCCCAGGCGCTAACCAATCGGCCATATAGTTACACGGTGCGATGTGATACTGCTGTCCAAGCGTATTTCATCAAGATGCCCATCGTTAAAGAAGCTTTCAATCTCGCTCCACATCCTATTATGGGGTAAATAACACTAAGGCTACGCATAAAAAAACGTATTAAAGATTACTGATTTAAAAACATCAGTTGTCGAAATACCAGGACTTTACAGAAGACAAATGTAAATTACCTTGTAGCAGCTGTTATAAGCAGTGGTCTCGTTTTGCCGATTTCCCAGTTCTACATTTAACTATTCGTTAGTGTTGCTTATTCGACAACCTCATGAAATGTGTTTCCGTACCACGTTATATGAGTTTTACTCCTTTGAAACGTAATCCAATCTAACACTAATGAATCACTAGGTTATGATAAAATAAATGGAAACTTCAGCAATTCAGCATTAGAGGATTTCTTACTCGATTCCCTAATTCGAAAGTTAACTTTTTGGATGTCGTAGTAGAATTTGAAGTGTTAATATTTGTCAGTCTGGAAGCGGCGATGTGGCGTGAGATTGGTATAAAATTATCAATGATGGTGCTGCCGGGCGTGCCGGCGTACCACGGCTGGTCGATAGAGAGACTCAGTATGCGCCTCGAACATGCATTTGTGCCCTGTCTTAGAGCATTCAAGGTGTTAAAATTTTCAATTTAAAATGTAACTAAGTCTAAGGAAGTCCCTTGATTATTATTTAAACGATTCTGAGTATAGAATTTAATATGTACATGCCATTATGACCTTAAATATCTTCAAGATATCCTAAAATTCATACTCTTGATCAGACAGCTAAAATAATAAAGTCTAATAAGATTCGCTACATTTCAGTGCATCAAAATGTTGTATGTTGACGCGCTTGTCATCATAACTTGTCAATTAAATTCTTACTAGAATTATTTACTAATTACTAGATATTCGTTGTGAACGAGCTGATGGAGGACATTATACTAATAGATGGAATTTGTCAAGACATGGCCACTAGAGAAGTGTTTCAACCGCCCTGTTATATACCAAGGTATGTAAATGATAAGCAGCAGAGTAGGGCGAGGTAGGGCGACCGCCCAGGGCTACGGACATAACATGCTAAAACTGACCCTAAATGAAAATGTCCTTGTCATTTCAGACACCACTTGGGTCTGTTAAAGACGATATTTTAAACTAAAAATTAAATAAAACGTCCAACAGATTCTACTTATATTCTGATTTTGATTTACGTTTTCAGTAGTCTTAAATAATATTGACTTTACAGGACAGCGCATAGACTGGTGTTTCCCAAATCATCACAACTGATAGTGTCAAGCACGTGTCCTGAAACAAAGCTCCTCATCGTCCCAGCGAAGGATACAGATGAACTGGACATCATGGAGGATGAAATAGACGATATGCAATGCGAACTGGTAAATATACGTGTGTGGGTAGTTTTAATTTTTTAGTAGTAAATGGCAAAGTCCACCGAGCTTATGTGTGTTAAATGTTTGGATAAGTAAATCTAAATAGTAATGAAATGTATGTGTTGGGAAGGAAAGAAGAAAGAAGAGTTGAAGGGGACAAGTGAGTTTGAGACCCCTTATTTCCATTTGTCTGATTCTGTTATATAGATCTACTTGTTTATAAACTTTAGATACTTGTAAAACAGGCTGTCTTTCCTAATACTGGCATAAGGGTAGGGCGACCGCCCAGGGCGCCCTACCTTGTCTAGATCTGCAATTTACACAATTTCATTTAATTTGTCAGGAAACCCAGGGTATGTGTGTTAACACGACCATGGAAGATAAAAAAGAGGGCGTAAAAATTTCGCCCAGGGCGGTAGGAGCGCTAAATTCAGTACTGACATTCCATAAGCAAAGACCATAAAATATGCATTTGTATTTGTATATAGGTGTCAAATGCATCGTCTCGCTGCTTATACCATAAAGTATCACGTCGTGTGTCGAGCGAGTCTCGTGCGGCGTCAGTGCGGCGCGGCCGCGGCAAGCGTCGCCGGGCACCGCGACGCGTCAACTATAGAGAATCCGTTTGGGGCAAACAAATATGTTAGTAATCACTAACTAAGAACTACACTAATATATTGAATTTATTTAAAGTAGTTAAAAATGATTTAAATCAACTCCTAACTTACTTTTTGACCATAGGTATATCTTTCAAAGTTCATTTCTTCCTTACTACATAACTTCTTTGATATAAGGGTTCTTTAAATTAGTAAATTGAATTGTTGCTTATTATTTTAAATTTCTAGCGACTGCAGTAATGCCGGGAGTGGCGAGTGAAAAGGAGCTCAACTCGAAGTATTATAAGCCAAGCTTCGATGATTTGGTAAGTAAATAAACGGGTTCTGTCATGTTTCTAACTCAATTTTTTAATCTGTAATGTTGCCCAACACAATGTTTATTCCTGAGATTTCTCGTGTTAACTTTATATATGTTTGTTGCAGCCTGAAAAGTTGGAAGCAAATAAAGACGGTAAGTTATTTTCGTTTCGATATTTCACTTTTTTTTAGTTTTTTTAAAAGCCAATGTATTTTTGCACCCAGTACCGGTTTTAGCAGTACTAACGCCCAGGGCGAGATTTCTGCGACGCCCTCTTTTTAACAAACATAAGGGTAATAGGTTTAAGGTAGACTGTGGTATTCGCTGACTTTGCCCCTTTTCTATCGAGCGCCCTGGGCGTCGGACAAATACGCCCTACTTAACTCTTCTCTCTATCATTTTCCTACGATGGCCAAAAAAATATTTTTTTTAGATGTAAGGCACGGACAAACTGGAGTGTCATTGCCGTACTCTCCATCATCGTCAGTTCACACGCAGGCGGATCAAGAGGTATTTTTGTTTTATATAAACTAGCTTTCGCCCGCGTATTCGTCCGCATGAAATTAAAAAAATGTAGCCTGTCTTACAGACTATCCTCTAAAACTATGCCAAAATTCTATCGAGATCCGTCCAGCCATTTAAGCTACAAACTCTAACTAACATCTATCCATCTAAACTTTTGCATTTATAATATTAGTATGATTACAGTAAGCACTAAAATTTTTCAGCCACCGTTTGTAATGCATTTTTATTTTCATACAAAACTGCATCTTGCTTTAACATTTCAGTTATATTCGAATTCATTGAAACGACAAAGAAGATTGTCTGATGGGAAGAAAAAATAATTTATCGTTGTGACGTCAGAGTTCTTGTTGGCTATATATTTTTTGCATTGATATTTACATTTAATTGATTTTTTACAACCTTTTATTAATAGTATTATTTATTTACACAAAAAACAGTTTGAGTCTTAACTACCTTTTTATGTCAACAAAATCACAAAATATTATTTTGAATATCCCCAACATTTTAGGGGTGGATAGAAAAGTGTTATATAAATTGAAAAAAATATACAAGTTGTTTTTATACTTTATTTCAAAATAAAAAATAGTAATATAAAAAAGTAAAATATAAACCTATGGTCCCAAACCGCAACTAATAGACCAAAAAGTTTCATTAAGCAAAATAAAAGAAAGTAGGTTAGGAATGTAAATAACATGCATAGGGAAGAAGCACCAGATTGCTGTTACATAGATAAAAATATTTATGGTGCAAATAAATGTAAATAAATAAACTTTAACGGATAAATAACTCAAGATATATAATCTTAAAATTATTTTCAAGTGACACTTTATCTTAGAATAACAATATTTATAATATTTAAACTAGAACATTAATATTCAAATACAAATTGCCATTTTTAGGCTTATTTTTATGCTGGTATTTTTAAAATATGCATTTTTTGCAGTCAGAAACTGTCCAAAAACTGGTTTAGATTGATTGTTTTCTAATTCACGATAAGATTGTCATAGGAAGAGTAAAATTGCTATTTTTAAAATTTTTTAACAATAAACATTAACAAGGTTTGTTTTTATACAACTTTTGATACAACAATCTAATCACTGGGCATAACACTGGATTATATCGCGTTTAAAAACATTCGGAAAATTATAAAGATAATTTTTATCAGTATATATTTTTCTTAAAAAAAAAGTTGCCAGTAATATCAACAGCAGCCAAAAGGTATTTAAAAAAAAATTTATAGTCGCTATTCAATATTTCATAATGGAATTGAGTACAACATTTCAATACCTTTCAATAATCAACGACCTTCTTCACTAGATTAAATATCTGTACTCAGAAAAACAATACATCTGCAGCTGTTTTACAAAAACAATATTGACTTTACAACAAAAAAAATTAATGAATTGAATTTTCCTATATTTTTAAACATTTTATTATGCCCATACTTCATTGTTAATACAGTCTACTTCCTTGGTTGTTGAATATGAGGATTAGGTTTGATATTAATATGTGATGGAGGTTTAGGACTATGAGCTATTTGAGCAGCTTCCGGAGTAAAGTCCGCATTACCCCGATTGGGAGCACCTGATATGGACACTGGATTAGAAGGCACAGGTGAAGGACCAGAGAGTCCTGTCAGGTCTTCATTAGCCGATTCCTTAGAGTCTTTAGCATGTGGTGTCTTGTGTTGAGTTATCCTCATACCACCGGCTTTCACTGTGTAGTAAAAATAAAGAACAAATAAATTTTCTATTGAGATATAGCAAGTAAATGAACACTGAATTCAGTTATCATAGAGACATAATTGTAAGGGTAAAAGTTATTAATAAATTTAAAAAACATCAACATTATATGATCAATTTGACAAAAATATACTTTGTTGTGAAGCATGCGTGTTATCAAGGCTATTAGACCAGTTTACCTACTACCTATTATCATTGTTTTTCAGTTTATTTCCAGTACATTTTAACCAGAAGACGATAATTGCTTAAAATTTAAAGTTACTTATACACTTGTAGTGTTGCTTTTGATATTGAAACTATTTTATTTGAACCATCATGAAAATCCGCCATGGGACAATATCAATAAAGGTCATTCTGACCATATTTGAGGTAAATGAACAAGGTAAATTACAATTATCTATACTACACTTAAAACAACAAGCCTAAAATATCTTGTCATGGTTGAAAAAAAATTGTGGTCATTTTGTTATTCACTGCTTAACCGGTTACCTTATGACCTTGAATACGTATTCTTTGTTTGACAACATTCATTTAAAATCCTATAGGCAAGGTACATAACAAAATAATAATTGTCACATTTAAGGAATCTAACAAAACCCTCAAGTTAAACGTATTATGTAAAGATAAAAGTGAAAATTGCATGCGCAGATCATTATCTTTTGTATCATTATCATAAGTAGTTTAATATTTCTGCATTTACTGTAAATAGTAAACAATAGAATAGAACAGACCTGCTGGTGGATGTCCTGCTTTTAGTTGAGATGTTTCTTCAGTGGACGACATTTTTCTATTAAAATGGAAATATAAAAAGAATGTCTAATAGAATTCTGATAAGATTCAAGCGTAAATAATAGTGATATGCAACGTGTAAGCACACACGATGACAATGACACGGTGCACAAAATACAGATAGAAAATATTTATTTGTGTTGGAATGACATTTCGATTACCGTTCGGAAACTCGCGTAAATTTTTATATCCTTGTCAGTATGTAGTTTCTAGTTTTTTCTTATTTAGTATTCATTTTTGTATTCCCTATTTTAGTATTAAGTAAATATAAGGAAAAACTCAAAGAATATAAACTAAAAAAATTCTTAGCTTTCCTGGGTGATAACTCTGCGTTTGCGAATATTTTTTAACCTATTATATTTTCACTTATTCGATCATAAGTTTAAGGGAATAACTGGTAATGCTTATTATGATTATATTTCAAGGATAACTAAGACATAATAAAAGTCATTATTTTATTTCCATGCTTTTATTTTTAATCTTCTTGATGGAACGACAACATCTTTTTCATCGCAGCCAGGTCTAAGAATATCTTTCTGTATTTCCACTATCATTCTCAACATGAAGTTCACAATTTGACTGCAAGTTCCCTCCCTAAGTTTGGGGAATTCCCGTCCAGAAGGCAGATACGTGTCCCCGATGCATATTGTTTGTTGTGTTAATGATGAAATTAGGCGTTTTATTATGTCCACCTTTTTGTTCGCTGCCAACGGACGCAGTCTTATCACGAAGCGTAACAGATATTCTACTAGTATGATATCCTCCTGTAACATAAAAACTGATTTATAGGTGGGCCTGATTTTAATTCCTAATTTGACATATCATTCCCTGTTTATCAGACAGCTAGGCAAAATTTAAATGTACAATAGATATCAAAATGCGGGTATATTACTGTATGTAATAGTCTTACCATATCTAAGGCCTGTATACACCAGTCGGTGTTATCCGCACGGCCGACTATCAGGGAGAGGTCTTCGCGGTCCAGCACAGCCTCTTTGAGACCTTCGAGCCACTCAAATAGGAGGCCCGATAGAATCACAGGATCCTCCTGTAGCAAAGCATATTATAAAGTCAATACAACATTCCCGTTATTTTTTTTTTACTTAACAGTTTTTTATTTCTTATGCTTACCTCGTCAAAAATCATATCCATAGCCTCTCGTCTCTGATTGATATCATTGCGTAATTGCCTAAGACACTTTTGTTTATCTTCTGGAAGACTTTGGTGATCTGAGACGAATGCCTGGAAATATTTAGGTGATCAGTCTTGTGAATGTCGAAACAAGTGATACTATTGTGCTATATTTTACTCCTCTTCCAAGATATTTTCTTACAACTTCAACTTCTTATCACACCGAAGGCTTGAATCTGCTCTAAATTATGGGCGCCTAGTTGTTTTAGACAAAGTAACATTCGATTATCGTTATCGGTGATCGAAAAGTCAGAAATATATGCAATTTTCAATAAGTCACGTGCTCCTCGCGTGTTTATTTGGTCCCATTTTGTTGATTTTACTTGCGATATCGCTGACCAAAAGTCACTTTGAGGGGGCCGACTTTTCACAACCGTGTTAGCTTAGTACAGCAAAAAAAACTGGAACTATGATACCTCATGTACTTTTACTGCAGGTATGGTACCGTTTGCAGTTGTGGCTGTGATCCTACTGACTGACTCCAAGCTCCTTTCCACGTCTTCTTCTACAGGGTCACGCCATTCCACCATTGGCAGAGATCCTGTTTGTCCTGTGAAAAACATTGCTGTGATATTTGTACTAACACATGTCGTCGTTTCTGTTTTTTCAAAGAGATAGCAAGGGACAGCAATATGTGTAAATAAAGTGTGTCTTTTGTCTCTGCTTTATTGTGTGAATAACAGGGACGATAGTTTTTAGTATAGGTATTCCGACGGTGGCCCGCAGTATAAAAGAGTTAAATGCAGGTAATATTCGCACATGAGACACTAGCAACACTCACATATGTCAGAATGAAAAATAACAGCGAAGAAGTGATCGCACAACATATACTTGTCTTGATATTAATGTAATACTCTAATATTTCTCAATAAACCATTTATACCAAATAATTGGTCCTTCGAGCCGGATATGCGACTTGTTTAAAATTTTAGGCAAGTATTAAATCTAGAAAAATATTCAAATGTATTCTTTAATTGTCCAATTTAATGTAATGTTAGCTTATTGGAACTATTAATTATTAAATACTTGTTACATTGATGGTAATGAGTTTAGATACAATGTTAGTTGTAGTTTGACCTGCACAGTATCAATATAAAAATTTTATCTATAATTTAACAAGATATTACCAGTAGGAATCTCTTCAGGAGTTGTCGGGTCTATCGGTTGGTTTTTCTTAAGTCTGTAAGACAGGAATGTCTTATAACAAGGCCGTATCTTTATTCTATAGTCCTGTCCACCGCTTTCATGGCACCCGCACAACTTGAGAAGTCTCTCACAGGTGCAGAAGACTATCTAAAAAACGTAAAGTTCCAATTAGAATGTGAACGATATTACTTTTTTTAATATCTTAGATTATGACATTAATTTCCTTAACTGTATCAAATTTAGATGGAAATTATGATTGGGTATTTCAACTCAATATACATAAGTTCAAAGTCAGCAATCTTTTTGATTATTGTCCATTATTGGATACAGAGTGCAGCCTTCATGTGGTCATAATTATGTTCTACTGTTTTCTAAATTAACTGTAAAGTAGAGCAAATTTGCAAGTTAATTTATTATTTAACGTAAATCTTACAAATCTTAAAAATTTAGATGGATGGATGTTTGTTAGAGTTTGTAGCCTAAGGGCAGAACGTATCTCGATGAAATTTGGCATACTTTTTTATATCTCGCAGACGGAGTTGCGGTTGAAAGCTAGCATAAAATAATTTAATCTTAACCATAGTTCTCATGTGTTAAACAACACAGCATCGCGCACCGTAAGGCCTGTATGGCACTTCTCTATGTATGAAATTGTTAAATTTACCTTTGGAATCTCTCGAAAGAACCGTTCTTCTATTCCGTGGAGTGTAGCTTGCTGCCGATATAAATATTGTCGTAGAGTAAATTCAGCACATTTTCGACCTTTCGCCAATAATAAAGGATCCCTGTAAATGCAATTAACATTAATTCATTTATGATTTTTTTTCCAAAGATTAAAAAATCTGTAAAAACAATTGAAGCTCACAAGTGCATAGAAGTTTTGCCGAAGTTCGCATGACGTCACACATTACCTGACGGTATTGAGAAGAGATATTTGATAAGTGGAAAGTGAATTTAATTCTTTAACTATACTAACTTTGTGCTGAAGACAACAGTCTGCGGTAGTATGTAGTGTTCGAACTGCTGCACACACAGGATCTGTCCTGATGTTTGCACAGCACGTGGTCGTTTCTTCCTTACCAGGCGTATCGCGTCATTAGCATGGATCCTGAGTGCGTACACCAGGTAGCAAGCTATCAGGACTCCGGTTCTTCCTAGACCTGGTTGAAGTAAGGGTTTTTAAGACAGTTGTAACTATTTGTAACGATTATATCACGGGCGTCACCAGCTGATGATTAAGGCCAGGTCTAGGATGTTTTCTACTGTTAGGTTGTTGCCACCCCTGGCGACGCCTGTGCATAATCCAAAAAACAATTCTTGCAATAGACTTGAGTAAACTGTTCGTCCTTACTATTTGGGTGAGTTTAAGAGAGACATTGTTTAAAGATGTCATATTATATCTAATGCCATCTCTTCTATTCTTTTACTCTTTCACTAATTTCTTTCATTCTACATATTTTTGCACAACTGGAAATCCGCATCTGATGATTTGAGATTTTTTTTTAAAAATGGATTACTATTAAAGTCAATTCTATTTCAATTAAATAAAGAATAACTAACTTTAGTTTGATTTTAAATTTTATTGTGATTTTTAAATATCCAAGAAGCCAGAAACGTTAAGAAACAACATTTAAATTTTAAAATAATCATAGGTCACTACTAAAGGTCGTGGTTTCCATAGTCATATACATTTTAAAGGCATTCTGTAACAAAAAGACTAAAAAAAAAGTCTGAATAACAATGTTTAACATTTATTTGACGTAAGTAAAATACACTTATTCCAAAACTCTTCAACAAATTCGTCGTCATCGCAAAGTTTTCGATATTTGTGTTGCTTACAGTCTTTAAAATATCTTCCACTAACATGTTCCAGTTCCGACGAAGTACATAAATGAATACTTGTCTGAGCTCCTTGCAAAGAATCCTTGAACATTAAAGATGTCAAAAAAAGTATAAACCTCTTAATATAATAAGGAAATTGTTCATAAAGTCCGGTATTAACAAATCCTGGATGGACAGCGTTAACTGTCACCCCATCTGGTAATCTCTTTGCCAAACCTTTCATCCAAAGAACGTTACATAATTTACTATTCGGATATTTTAGAAGACCAATCCTATCGTTCACTTCTCCAAGATCATTAATATCTAGAAATCCAAAAATATGCACGTATGATGACAATATCACGATACGACTTGGCTTCGACTCAACTATCTTGTCTAATAAGAGATTAGTTAAAAGAAACGGCCCGAAATGGTTCGTTTGAAGCACAACATCCAAACCATCATCAGAAATGCGAGACGAAAAGTCTATTAACCCAGCATTATTTACTAATAAATCCAATCGGTCCACAGTTCTATTGAAATCATCAGCAAATTTTCTAACACTACTAAAGTTGCAGAGATTCAAATGTCTGTACTCAACTTTATTATTCCCTGTTGTTGCGATTATATCTGCGACAGCTTCTTTTGACTTCTCTTCGTTCCTGCAAGCGATAATCACCCTTGCGCCCCTTCCAGCTAAGTCTCTCGCTGTTTCCAATCCTATACCGGAATTTCCACCGGTCACAAGAGCTGTTTTGCCGTGCAGTTTCGTCTTGCATCTACACACTCCCGCTTTTGGTTCCAACCATAATCTCGCAGAAATTATAATTACAATTATAATTAAAATAAGCCAAACAAGTGTATTAAAAACAAACGTTAACAACATTAACAACGTTTCTAAAGCCATTTTGTTGGCTTACTTAAAGATTTTTGAGGAGTCAGTTAAATAAAAGTAAAACCAACTAAACAGGTTTGTTTTTTATCAAAACATGTTTGCCTCGTTGCTTATGCTTTTCGAACTCTGAATTGATATATTCTTCAAGACTTTGTAAACGTCATACTAATTAGAATTCCGCAACCGTGAACAAAAATATTCATAGTCACTTTTTGTACAGAATATTTGTAGGTTAACATAACCAAAAAAAAAAACATTTATTACAAATCTGATTATAGAAGTAGTTCCCACACTACAAGGTTAAATCATACTATCATACTTCATACTAACGTTATAAATGTGAAAGTTTAGATGGATGGATGTTAGTTAGAGTTTATAGCCTAAACGGCTGAACGGATTTCAATTAAATTTAGTACAGATGTGGAGGGTAGTCTGGAAGAACACATAGGATATTCACTTTTGTTTTTTTTTTTAATTCCACGTGGATGGAATTGCGGGCGAAAGCTAGTAAGCTATATTTTATTCTAGGCTTTAGTAATGGTTCTGGTTAATTATTAGGATGCAATTATATGAGATGATGAGAGGGGTTAAAGGATATGATAGAGTAGGGCTTGCTTCAGGAAATGTAATCGAAAACTGGTTTATGGTCAAAGTGTAATATGATTTACTTGTTAGTAAGTGATATACATTTGTCCCAAAACTTGTCAACGAACACATCGTCTTTGCACAGCTTGTGGTACGAGTGTATTTTACAGTCCTTAAAATATTTACCACTGACATCACTAAGTTCCGGACAAACACATAAATGAATACTCGTCTGAGCTCCTTGCTTAGAATCTTTGAACATTAAGGTCGTTAAAAAACGTACAAACTTCTGAACAAAAGGATGCATTCGTTTAAATATATCCGTCCTTACAAAACCAGGGTGCAAGGCGTTAACTGTAACTCCCTCCGGTAATCTCTTCGCTAATGCTTTCATCCAAAGAACGTTACATAATTTACTATTCGAATATTTGTCAGAATAAGATCCTTTGATATTCCTCTCACCCAGATCGTTAATATCTAATCGTCCAAAATTATGCAAATACGATGAAACAATAACTATACGACTCGGCCGTGACACAATCAATTTGTCAATTAATAAATTAGTTAAAAGAAACGGTCCAAAATGGTTCGTTTGCAACACCAAATCAAAACCATCTTCGGATATTTTCAACGGAAGACCAGCGCAGCCTGCATTATTGACCAGGAAATCTAAACGATCCACATTTGTATTGAAATCATCAGCAAATTCTCTGACGCTACTAAACTTGCAGAGATTCAGATGTCTGTACTCGACTTTATTATTCCCAGTTGTTGCGATTATATCTGCGACAGCTTCTTTTGACTTCTCTTCGTTCCTGCAAGCGATAATCACCCTTGCGCCTCTTCCAGCTAAGTCTCTCGCTGTTTCCAATCCTATACCGGAATTGCCACCGGTCACAAGAGCTGTTTTGCCGTGCAGTTTCGTCTTGCATCTACACACTCCCGCTTTTGGTTCCAACCAGAGTTTTAACGTTACAATTAAAAACACGATTGATATAAACGAGACGGCAAACAAATATATAATATATTTAAATAGAATTATCAATGCTTCAATGGAAATCATGTTGACTAACGGAGCGATACTTCAGTTGTGTTGAGTTCTAGCGACCATTTAAAACTGCAACAACTGTTTTAAATGAGGCAGGGTCATCGTTTAAACAGTGGAGTTAATGACGATGTTTTAATGATAAGCTGGCTATACAAACAAATTGTAATCAATGCTCGTTTTTGATACTCTTAAAATAAACTATATAAAATTATGACTTTTAGTTTACTTGTTACAAATATTTTGCATTCATTTTTGAAGCACCAACAAAAACAGAAGGCACATTTTTCACAACTGTCTTACTTTATCTTGTCGAGAAATTAGTTACTGATAACTGCGTAATATTCGATACAAAACAAATATTAACATAATACAAAAACCAAACTTTGTACATGTGTTTGTATGTTTGACCCACTTTAACATTTGACATATTTAAACTTTTGTATATGGAAAGAAACGCACGGCTTTAGTTAGTTAAAACCAGTAAAAATAACCAGTTTGATTGACTCGTGGAATATTTTGAATAGGTAATACGAGTATGAGACCTGTTTTTTTTTGTAGTTATACCAAACCATCCTTTATGTGCAAATTGCAACAATTACTGAATTTTTCAACACAAATGTATTAAAATTCATAATTATTCCCATACCATGTAGTAGAGAGCATCTGTGGGTCAAAGGTTTAAGCACTTGACTTGTAATCTACAGGTCTTGGGTTCGAATCCCGCCATGTACCAATGTGATTTTCGAATTTTCGAAATTTCATATGTACATAATTTACCCGACGTTCTTACGGTGAAGGAAAACATCGTGTAGCAGGCGCCGAGCCCCTCAGCGGGGACATATAGTGAGGTGATGTTGATATAGTTATATTCGTTTTCATTATTTATTTCCAATATACTAGTGTTTGACCACGACTTCACCTGATGTTAAGTCATTCTTTGTATAATTTTTGCAAATAAATCTTTTTACACGTTTTTAGATATCCTGTATATTTTTTTTCTGTAGTTAAAAACTAGTATTTTTTTAGACAAACAACACGCCATTCCTGCCATTCGTATTTGATGTTATTTTCTAGAATAATTCGATTTCGTTGTAAAAACCTTGAAAGACGCACGCAGAGAAATCGATACGCGTTACTTCGTATGTTTTTTTCAGAAGATATTTGATTTTGGGTCACATGTCTTAGAAGCAGTGTAAACTCAATAAATTTTGTGTATTGCATTATTTAAAACTGTATCTAAATGCAAAATTATCTAATTTGTTGAAATAAAATGCTGGACAAAATACTAAAGATACAGCTTGTTCTGTTGATAGGATAAGAAGAGAAAATCTAAATTGCTACTTAATAAGTAAATTACTCTAAAAAGCGTTTACTTTAAAAAGTTTTTACACGCTCTAGAAAAACGAATTCACTTTATTTTTTTTTCTTTCTCCTTTTAAAATGTATTGTGAACTATATGGGATCTCCTGTATACTTTTATATTTACCTGCATGACAGTGTATGGCGACTCTACCCTCTTGTAACGCGAAGGACAATACTTTCGTCATATTGAGGAGACCGCTCAAACTAGCCTCCCCGTAGTCCGGCCACGCGAAGTTATAATAATAAACTGGAAATAAAAATATATATACTTACTAGCTGTTGCTGGCGACTTCGTCCACGCAAATATAAAATAAAAAGTTGCCTAAAATATGCCCGTCTATGTCATCTACCCTTCATTGAAAGTCCGGTCGCAATCGGTCCAGCCGTTTCGGAGATTGCCCGGAACAAACGCGGCTTGCGGACAGATAGACAGACAAACAAAAAAAAATGCGATTTTCGTTTCAGCAACGCAAATACATCATCTTCCCGAAATCTGGAATTATTCTTTTGATATTATATGTATAGAAAAGTTTACATAAAATCATTTTAAATATATTTAATCGATGTAAATTTGACTTAAAACTTTTCGGACTAAAGCCTATCGAATCTTTGTCATATAAGCTGATTTAAAATTTAGTGAGTGATCGAATCAACGAATAAAAGAACGAATGAATGATTAAAGTTTCGACTTACTGTGATTTGCCATGAATATTGTCGGGTCGTAAGTGAAGCCGGATTTTGTAAGCGGTGGACCGCAGCTTGCATGTTCCCCGGGGGTCTGCAGATTCACCACCGTACGAATTCCCCAACTACATGAACAAAGAATTTTTATCTACCAAATAAAGATTAGTACACACTGATGGTGAATTGTTTTAAGTACGGTGTATTACTTAGGGATTGACCAGTGTGTCTCCTTCCTTATACGATGACTGCCATATGAACAGTATCTATTTTAGTGTTTTTTTCACTTCCGCCTTTCTATGGCAGATACCTCTGCTATCCGCTAATTATATAGATAAGGTGTCGGTTAACGGTGGTCACATATGTAACTATTCTTACTTCCTACTAACATTATAAAAGCGAAAGTGATGAATGGATAGATGGATCGATCTTTCGATCTCGATAAAATCTGGCATAGATGTAGAGGATAGTGTGAAAGAACACATAGACTAGTTACTTTTGTTTTTTTTTAATTTTACGCAGACCGAGTCGCGGGCGAAAGCTAGTAAACAGATATCGTTCAAATCTTGTTACAAACATCATTATACTGTCCTTATCGCACACTATGTATGGCCAGTGCTCTAGGTTTTTGTCCTCCAGATTGTTTGTATTTACTAACTATTAGTTGTAACTATTAGTTAGCCAGTTCTAAATAACATCGTACCTATGAAATTGTTGCATGATGTTCCTGGCTGCGATACTCGCGGTGCTGGGCCGCGCCATCGCCAGAATGTCTTCGGTGACCCTGCCACACGTAGCGTGGTAATATTTAATGCGAATAAAATGACGTTTCATTTCAACGAATATTTGCTTCTGATCGACTTCCCAAAAGAAAGAGGTACTCAATTCGTCTGGATGTTTTTTTTTGTTTTTTGACCAACTTCCCATAAGAAGGTGGTCCTCAATTTGCCTGTATGTTTTTTTTTATGTTACGGCATAACTCCGCTGCTAATGGACCGATTTTGATAATTATTTTTTTATCCGAAAGGTAGTGCTTGCAGGTGGGCCCCATTTTTTTTGTATGATTTTGGAAGTCAAAGACTACGTCGTAGTTAAATAATTTATTTTATTATACGTTCAAGATTCTGTTAAAATTGTATTGTATTGTGCATTTATTGTATTTCCTAGCTAAATTTAACCATTCGTTTGTGTTGGTATGATAACTTCATAAAATGCGTTTCTGAACTACGTAACTTGAGTTAAATCTTATGAAACTTAGTACAAACTAATACTAAATTATCAAGGAAAAATCAGCAACCCAGCATTAATGTTTTAAATGTAACTTCCTTCGACCACTTCTTCACCAAGCGCTGGTTTTGCAATTAAAAAAAAAAGAAAACTTAATATAATATCATTTTTGGTCTTTAATTATACATTTATTTTAAATGTGAACTAAAAAAGTAAAATTAACTCGATTAATTAACATACAATTGAATTAACTTTATAAATAATGAATTGTTAAAAAACGATGATTATCATTGTCCGAATCAGTCACATGACTAGTTATTAACAAAATTAAGGTCCTATCCCACCACTGGCTGATATCTCATATAGCTAAAAATGACGTCACTGTCAGATAAGGGAACAAAATCCGATATTTCCATCACATTTTACACGTTCGATTGTTATCAGACAATTTACAATTTGGTGAGACAGGCCCTTATAATTCTACATAACCGAATATTGCATAATGTCCACTAAGTAGAAAACTGCACGTATGTAAGTCAAGTATTATGTTCTAAATAATTTAATAGACCCACTATAACTTTTTAAATTGAAACAGCCAGCCTTTCGTTAGAATTGGGTCGTGAAAATAAAAATATTAGAATTTTATTATAACACGGAACAAGAGCTTGACGGAAGTCACGCGAATGTGGTCGCAGCGTTATAAAAAAACATTGAATTATTTCAAAATACACGATGACGTGCTTGTATTTTATAATACATCACGCTACATTTATTAATCTACATGTAAAATTAATAAATACCTTATTTTTATTTGGGTATTAACGGCTGAGAAAAGATGCGGAATGGTTGCTAAATAAAGGTAGCAGTTTTACCAAAAATAATATTTCTAGTTAAAAAAAGTTTGACTAAGGTGAAAATACTTCAAGATTCGACTTTACCGACGCATGTTGTCTCTATTCTTCCTAAGAGAATGACAGGGACGACAATATGTGTTACAGCACACTTACCAATCTGAGTATAATCCTTGTATGGCATTGTCTCGTTTCTGTGGCAGTTCGTACTGGCAGCTAGCACCGCCACAGAACAACGCACATTGCAGAGCTGCCGGGGTGCTTAAGCGAAGGCGCTCGCTCAGTGCACTGTACTGAGCTGAAGGTGGTCTGTTGATACGTCGACGAGTTTCCCGACTCCTGGGGAATTCACGTTTGTTAGGACCTGTCCCACCACTAGCTGATAAGGCTCAGAAGGCATAAAAATGACGTTACTGTCAGATAAGGGAACAAAATGTGATATTACCATCACATATTGTACACATGGAATTGTTATCAGACAATTTCAATTTGGTGGGACAGGCCCTTAGTCTCTTATCAATTTCGTGCCCTTTTACTTACGGAGGGTATACACAATGCACACTTGCATACATCCCTTTTCAGTCATTATCTGATTACTGGAAAATCAATGTCGAACAAAACTAAATAATCTGAAAGCTGAACTTTGGAAGACAATTTTTTTTAAATTTCCTATACGTAAGTCTATGATTGACTATGGCCTGGTCATCACTAACGTAGGTGGTGATGACTAGCTGGTGATGATGGTGATGGATGAAATCGCAAGATCAGTTAATCCCTAAACGATTCCAAAGTTCCTTACCCATGCAAAAAATGAAAACGACGATAGTTTTGAAGATTTATACTTGATCTGCGATTAGCTTTCGACATGGTGCGAAAACGGACAACTATTAAAAAAACGTTTGTAAGGGGACAAAGGTTTTCATATAAAGCGTGCTACTGACTGCCTTACAGGTCGTATGAAAAAAGAAAAATAAACACGAGTAAAAATAGGTTAGCCGTTGTTTATGTAGCGTCAGCAAATAAAATTTCATAGTTAGTAACGTTCATTTAGATTTTATATACGTAATCAAAATTATCTGCTAATAAATGTTACAATCGAATTTAAAATTGAAACAGTTATATTAAAATGTCGACATACACATTATTTTACTACATAAAACTACACATTTTCTTTCTGTGTAGATAGGCAAAAATGTAGATATCTAGTTATCTAAAAATACTCGCTACAGGTTACGGAATAAGTTAACAATAATCATAATACAATTATGTAAATTCATGTAAAAATAATGTTGTTTGTTTCTACTGCTTTTGCTGTCAGTACATTAAGGACTGGCGACATCAATTTCGTGTTAGAACCACTGAATCAATAATTGTAATGACAACATTCGTCGCGGCTTAGTTGTTGATTTTGGGGCCCTAATTGTTATTATTATATAAAGTAATGTTGACACATATGTCACGTTTTTAAAAATTGTAATAAAAAATTGGTATGATGTGACATCTTCCCTCGCTTTCCCTCCGGAGTGTCACACACAGTTTCGGCACAGTATTTACTATTCCATACATCTCTATCAGGCGTCATCACAAACCATCTTCATCTTCTCTCCGATCTTTCTCTACTTTCGCCATCTACGTTCAATATTATAAAATGAGTAGATTCAAATACATTAAGATAATTGTTTTAATAATTAAAACTTCATTATTATGCAAGCTTTATTTTCATTGTTCATGTACAGCAATTAAGTTTAACTTGTCCCGTTACTGGCTTAAGCTCGTGCATGAATTACCTTTATATCTCACTATTTAAATTTCGTGCTGTTTCACTATAAACTACTTGTGGTAATGCGTTTTAATATTCCTAAATATTTTTTATAGTAGTAAACGAACAGCGGAACGCTTCATGTTACTTTATCCGACACTAAGGACATTTGCAACGCCAGAGGAACCGCAGATGCGTTGGTAGAAGAGTTTGATGAAGGTAGGGAGAATTCCAAAAAAGTTTTGTATTTAAAAAACGTAAAAAAACGTGTATCGATTTTGAGGTTATTTGGAATTTTGTTTTGTATACTTAGGCACTATCAAATAAATCTTACTTCTTACCATATTTATTACAAGCTGTTGCTCGTGACGTCGTCCACGTGAAATTAATAAATAGCCTTTGTTACTTACAGATAAATTACCTGTCTAACGTTGAATGAATTTTTGAAGTCGACCCAGTAGTTTCTGATTTATTTCAATACATACAACAATACAAAAGTTTAGGATAGATGGATAAATGTTTGTTACAATTTGTAGCCTCAACTGCTACATAGATTTCGATGAAATTTGGCATTATATAGAGGAAAATCTGGAATAACACATAGGCTACTTACTTTTGTGTTTTTAATTCCACGCGGACTGAGTCGCGAGCGAAAGCTAGTATTCACATAATTACCGAATCCATTGGCATTTCGACGCCATCAATGATTCAAGTTATTACGCGACGTCGAAAGAAACGTGTCAATTGTGAATTAATTGTGTGGGCGATATTATAGAACACGTAAACACGAACGTGCTTTTAGCTACAGTTACACGCATTAAATTACTAGAGCCAAATCTTCAAAGTTATTGCTAATTAACGATGTTATATGTGTATAACAGTGGTAGTTTCCGCTGTAACGTCTTCGCCCGAATGAATTATATAAAAAAAAATATTAAGGTATCAATTTTAGATAATATAATGAAAACATTGTTAAAAAGTTAACGTCGAATCCATTTAATAAGGGTGTTTATAATAAAATATCGTTTCCAAATATGACACGTACTTTTACCGTGTTTATAACTTTGACCTATTCCAGTAACTCTGCCTATTACACGCACCCTGTTGCGTGACCGCGCAACACTTGCGTTCGATATCTTACCGTCGTATATTTTCAAGTAATAAATATGAAAAAACAAGTGACAAATTGAATTTTAAACGAATCTCACTTGATGGTACTGTGCCTGATATAATGTGAACTGCAAAATATTATTTTTGATTATAAGTTAGATGTAATTTGAAAGGCGCTGTTAAAATCCTTAGCGGATTATCTTCGAGAGATCTCTAACAGTAATACATTTACCAGGTAAATTACAAAACTTTCCACCTGTATTCCTCGAAATAGCACTTGTGAAACCGACACCAACTAAAATAACACTAATTAGGATATTTCTTTTACCAGCAGAAAATTCTATGAGTGAATCACTTGGTTATATTTTTTGTGTATGTATAGTCAAGTAGCCCTAGGGTTTAAACCTACCTAGGACTTGATTTGCTGGTCCGTTCTGGTGCCACCTTCCTCCGGAGTAACCTTCGGTAGATTCTCGTACAAACGCTGAAT